TTACCATCCTCACTTTTAAAATATGATTTTCCTATTTCTACATAAATTGGTCAGATGATATTATTATTTTGTTTTGTTTAATTCTTTTTAATACAAAACACAGACAACAACTTCACTATGCTAGAGGAGCAAAATGAATCCCTTTCAATATATATCACTGCCTGAATCCTTAATATCAAATGAATAAATGACCCTGTCTCTCCATTTAAACTTCTAGGCAACATAGTACCATTGGAGAAAGCCACACAACTGTGCTAACTTAGCTAGGCTTAAAGACGGCTGAGCCTCACTGCTGAAGCTATAGATTCCACCTTCTTTCAATTCCTGGGGCAATTCCTAGAATCCACTCCCTCTTCTCCCCATCATCCTCAGGACCAAACTTTAAGGGGTACTAAAACCCGGGTCTCCACATAAGCCTTCTAACAGACGGAATTGCTAAAATGTAAATTGATCCTGTTATATTCTCTAGCTAACTTCATTTCCATTAAAAAAAAAGTTGAATAAATATTTAAAGAATATCTGTTTGAAAGGGCACCTAATTATTAGCCTGCCCATGGCTCTCACCTGATTTATCTCCTTCATAATTTAAATTTAACCTTTGCCACTGTCAGCAATACTTCTATTCACTTTTTGCTAACTTCCTGGTGCCTTCTCCAGATTGTTCTCTCTGTTTTTAAAGCCCCAGTCTCATTCTCTCAGGCTCTTCGATTTGTTTTCCAATGTAACAGGGAAATTTGACGGTAACTGATTAGAGCTAACTCAGCATTCCCATGCTCCCCTTGAGATTTCCTCCAGTCTCAGAGAGAAAGCATGTCTCTCACTTTCACTGCCAGCTCCACTGCTCTATCTCCTGATCTCAGCCTCTCAACCTTGAGGGTGATTCCTAGGATCCAATCCCTCTTCTCTCTGGTATCTTCAGGCTTTGGCTCAGGAGTAGCTAGTTTTGTCTTGACATGCCTGGAGATTCACCCTGTCATCACCTTCAAAAAGTCTTCTGCTCCTGTCTCATTGCTTTCCTTCCTTCATCTGTAATATTCCTCATGATACTCTGCCTACCCCTATTCCTAATACCATTTTCTTCAGTAATCCTTTGCAATTTTATTTTTAACAACCTATTCAATGAAAAATGCTTGGTGCAAGGGTGCCAGGTGCCTTTCTTCTAATAATATTCAGCAGCATTTCCTCACTTCATTTTCCATAAAATTTTGCTTCATTTAATACAATTTGTGGGTTCATAAAATCCTCCCTCCTCTGATGTCCGTGAAACAATAGCATTCCACCTCCCATCCATGACTATGTGAATTCATTAATACTGTATTTAGGCGTTTACTCTTTTTTTACTTCCTCAAAACTACATATCACCATGCCTTCCAATATCACCAATTCCAGTTCTCAAGTAAGTCAATCAACACTCTTCTTGATCAGTCTCAGCTTATTATCAAATCCAGCTTCCATTTATGTCTTCAGATTCTTTGCCATAGTCTTTCCCATCTCTGTGCCTTGACTCATGTAGCATAGCCCACGTGGAATGTCTTCCTCTGTGCCAATCTAAATCCAATGTACCCATCCTTCAAGGTCAGCTAAAGTTCTACTTCTTCCATTAGGCCTTTGCCAAGCATTGCAGTACATTAAAGCCTCTGTCTAAAACCACATTAGACTTGTGGTCTGCTTGACAATTATCTCTAGTTACCTCAAATATGTAGGACTTGTTTTATCAACTATCCTTCTGAAAGCATGAACATAAGGTTTTATTATTCTCTGACAGCCCAACAGTGTGCTGGGCACATAGAAGTTGTTTAATGAACTTGTTTAATGGCTTAATACTAAACAAATATTATTGAAACAAGTAATGATAGTAATATCACAGCATTGATAACCCTACTTTCAATGAAACAAGGATTATTAAGACAACTTAGAAGACCACAGGCAGTACGACATAGTGTCTAAGAGTATGAGCCCAGATTGTCTGGTTCAAATCCTGCTGCTTGTCACCTATTGGCTAGATGACCTCGGGAAGGTTAATTAACATCTTTGTGCCTCAATTTCCCTCCCTGAAAATAGGGGGACATAACAGTACCTACCTCCTGGGGTCATTATGAAGATCAAATGAGTTTTGTCACATACTTAAAACAATTTCTGGCATCCACAAATTGCTCCATGAATGTCAACTATTTTTAAATGCTCATTACACATAGAGTGATAGTATCTCAGAGCTAAAAGAACCTTTGCTTTGTAAGTGAATGAGTTGAGAAACAAAGGTAAAATGATTGGCTCATGGTCATATGGCTGATTAGAGGCAGAGTCAGAAAACCAGCTCTCCTGACTTCTATTCAGTGTTTGTTTTCTGCCTCCCCAACAACTCTGTATCTGAACATGGAACTGAATTATAGAAGTTCAGAGTGCAAAGGGACATTCAAGTCTCTCTAGTTCAACTTTTCCATAAGGGACCACACTGCATGCATGATTACCTTTCATCTTTGCTGACAGCACCATTTCACAGATTCTTAATCACCCAGGCAATTTTCACAGATTCTTGATCACCCAGACAAAAGCATCCTAACAGAACCTGCACCATGGCTCCCAAGTTAAGAAACACATGAGGGATAGGAATGGATGCCAAGGTCAGGTTCCCCGAGTTCAGATGACTATCATTAGATGAAGCCATTTTTAACATCTATCTTTTGAAAAATAATATTTCTTTTTCAGGGAAAACATTGTCTGGAATACTCATTATAAAACTGTGATTCAAGTCATCCCACACTTACGTGAATGTTTTGCAGATAGTATGCTTTCTGCTAGGAATCTGAAATTATGATTTTGATGAACTCTGAACAATACTCTTTAGCAGCCAGAAAAAGATTCAGGGGCCAACTACCCATACCAGGCATAATTCCTGAAGGTTTCAGCTTTCTGTGTGGTTCTCTGAAACAATATTCAGCCTGGTTGTGCAATCAGCTGTGCTAGTGTTTTAAAATTCAATCTAGGAAATACAGTCTCTCAAGAGGAACTGCAGCAATAAAAAATTGCTATTAAATAGGCACAAATAAGCCTGCGTGTAAGGATTCTCTCATCAGACGCAATAGCATGCTATTCTGACTCAATTCAATGCTGAGATTTAATTTCTCTTTAATGCAAATGAAATTGTTGTATGTAACAGCAGTAAGAAGGAAGAAGGCTAAATTGAGTAATTATATTGTGTGTCCACAAAGAATGTGCATCCACTTTCAGCCCCTTCCACCCTACAAACAAGACTCAGGGAATCCACATTCTGTTTATGATTATTTAAAATGCCTGATTGTAAAGTATGGACTCTGAGGATTTTAATCCTCAAAACAAGAAGGTCCCATTACTTGAATCTGAAAATTGAGTTACCTTCTTTATATTGAAGACTGAACAGAGGGCCTTCACTGATCCCACAGAGGATGCATCATTCCTGCTTTGTGCTTCTATAGTGTTTTATTTATATCTCTAACTTTACTCATGATAATCTGACTTGTTACACCCAGCTGTACGTCTCCTTTGTAGACTATAAACTCCTGAGGATAGAATTCACGTCTGATTTATCTCTGTATTCTCCCAGAGCCTTACAGTGTCTTGGACATAGAAGCTGCACAGTAAATGTCTGAAATTTAGTTGTAATGGTACAGGTGTTAAGCATATCCCAGTTTTAAATATTAATGGATTTGACCTTTGACATACTTTTTCCTTCCCATTTCTTAGAACTCTTGCCTTTGAAACGCAAAAAACTTTAGCAAATTGACACTGTAATTTAGATGCTATATAAACAGCAAGGGAGCGCCTAGCAATTATTTATTGAATTGTAACTTTATGAAAATTTGCAGAGGTTTCTTTTGAACTCTCAGTTGTTTACAGGGACCCAACCACCTCAGTGGGGCAGAGGAAAAGAAAGAACTCAGAGGAATGACTGGGAGGGTATCCCAGAAAGACTACTGTGCCTTCTAGAAGAAAACCCCAGCACCCAAGTCCTGACTCCAGGACCCAGTAGCAAGTTAGGATCACAGCATTCCCAAGGCCTATCTTTCCTCTTTAATAGTTTTTCTCAGAAATTGTCAGTTTGATGTTCAAGAAATATTTAATTCATGTCCATTAGGCCCACAGACACTACTGGCTATGTGAGTTGCAGGGCCCAGTCCAAAATAAAAATGCAGGGCCCTTGTTCCAAAACTATTAAGAATTTCAAGACCATGACAGCAGAACATTAAGGCAAGTGTGGGCCCATCTAAGCCCAGGGTCCTGTCTGACTGCACAGGGCTCACATCTATGAAGCCAGCCATGTTCTATCTTCAAAGAGCTTCCAGTACAGGGAAAGGCAAAAGATCTATATGGGACAGAAGCTACAATTCAAGTATGTACATGGGGCTGCAGGAACCCAGAAGCTCCTAACTTAGTAAAATCATCCCAGAGAAGGTGACAGTTAAGCTCATTTTTGAGGGAGGAGTGAGAGGACAAAAATACTCCAGACTGAAGGGAGGCAGAATTCACCTGACAAATTTCAGGAATAGGGTTACTTTTAAGGAGAGTGGAGCAAGTGAACATGAGGGTGACACAATTGAGATTGAGAGTGGAATGAGGCAGAGGCCAAATATATGGGGGAAGACGTTGAAAAATTATTGAGTACCTACTGTATGCCAACTTCTTTCCCCCATGTCATAATCTTAAACACTCAGAACAATCCTGTAAATAAACTGCCATGCCTAGTTTACAAACGGGTTAGTTTAGGTACAGGGTCGTAATGTTCAAAGGGCTTGGGACACTTTAGGCATGCAATAAATATTTGAGGAAGACTGGTGGGTCTATCTGGCTTACGGCCCAGAAGGACTCAACCCCAGGCAAAGCTCATTTTAAGCGCTCTGCTAACTCTACCAGAAGTCTTCTCTGCATCTCTCCAGAGGCCAAAGTTACCCTTCCCTCCCCTTGTCCCGCCCCGGCATTTCCACGTGCCGGAAATTGAGCTGCAAAAGTACTTCCGGGATAGCAAAGGTCGGCCCCGGCAAGATGGCGGCTCCCTTGGAGCTCAGTTGCTGGGGAGGCGGCTGGGGGCTCCCATCGGTACACAGCGAGTCCCTGGTGGTGATGGTGAGGCCGCCTCGCGGGCCAGGGCGCGGGAGAGCAGGGGCGGGGCCAGAGGCACGAGGCTGGCTGGGGCCGGGCCCGGCGGCTTGACGCGGTTCCCCGGGGCGCTGCGGGGTCGAGGCCGGCCGGGGCGCTGCTCGCTGCACCGCCCTGGGCTCCCTGCCGTCGACGAGTCACAGCCTGGCCTGTGACCCCGCCGAGGCCTGGCGGGAGAGTCCTGACTTCTCCGCTTGGCTCCGAGTTTTCTCAGCCTTGCAAAGCTGTCTGGCGGTGGAGTGAAGCCCGAAGCAGGGGGCGCCCGCGCCCCGTTCTGCAGCCCCCGGAGCTTTTGCGGAGAAAAGTCCCCGAAAGCTGGGTGGCTTGCGCGCGCGTCCCCGGCTGGAGATCGGGGGAGGGTCGCGGCCCCCTGTCAGGCGTTTCTGCCTTCGGGGGACGAGGCTGTGAAGTAAAGCTGCTCTGCAGATTTGCATTACGTACTCAGTCTAAAATGTTATATTGCAAACTCTGTTTCAGGCTTACGCCAAATTTTCTGGTGCACCCTTGAAAGTCAATGTCATAGATAACACCTGGAGAGGTTCAAGAGGTACAGTGTAATCTTTTAAACACCCCTTTCCGCCATCTTTAAGTCCCCCCCCCCCCCATTTAAAACTTGGAGGCATATAGCCGTGGACTACCTTGGGGTTTTAGTTTCTTCTTGCCATGACCTTGGCTGTGTGTTGCTTAAGGTTTGATCATTCTGAGTAATACTTCAAAGGACAAGCCAAATCAGTGGAAATTATGAGAAATGAAAATGTTCTCTAAAACTGCTCTTGGTGAAATTGCAAAAACCCAAGATGAGCTTACTCATTTTTTCCCCCTCCAAATGTGCAATTGGTATAGTTTTAGGGTGTTGGAATCTCTTCAGAGGAAATAGAATGTTTCCTTGTATGTAAACTATTTTTTGATTATAGGTGATGTACCAGTTTTGACAACTGAAGACAACTTTGTTTCTCAGCCAGCAAAAATACTAAACTTTTTAAGAAAACAGGTGGGTGGTTCCTTTTGAAGAAGTAAATTGCTGATCCCTGCATGTTACTTTTTAAAAAAATACATTTTAAGGTTTGAGGAGTTTTTTTAGAATTCTTTTTTGCCAACTCAGTAGACAGTTGGAGATACCTGGGGTTTGATATAAAAATAGACTTGAAAATTACTGCTGAAAATCATGAGTTATGCTGTGATTCAAAAGTCATATAGTGAGTAAAGTCAATTTATATTTTCATGCACTTTGCTTGGATTTTTTGAAGTTTAGGGTAAAAACAGATTCTGTTTAGCCATATTCGCTATTACAGTTATTGATATGACTGTCAGTTTAGCCACAGAGTTGCTACACATTCTGTGCTGGGTATGACTTCTGAGTTCCCACCAACTAGCAACTATTTACTTAATTTTTAAAAAGCACTTAACTAATAGTTGCAGTTAAGTGTTTCATGAAATAATGTATCTAAAATGTTTGACCATGTAAAGATTTATATAATGTATCCAAAATGTTTAAAATGTAAAGATTTATCTAAATGCAAAAGTTACTGTTGGTTTTGCAAATTTTTTTTTTTTAAATAAGTCCTATGTCAACATGGAACTTTTATAAATAGAAGGTTTTCTTTCTTTTGTCATGGGGAAAAATGCAACCAATTAGAACTTTTTCCTTATTGTTAACAAAAATAATAATAGCTTCTATTTATTAAGTTTGTACTACATGCCAGTGCACTAAACTGTCATTAACAATCATTGAAATAATAGCAGTTAAAAAAAAAATCATAATGTCTATTGACCTTACTGCATGCATGATGCTTTGCTAAGAACTTTATTTGCATTAGGCAGTATTTGTCACTGAATTTGTATTTCTCTTTTCCCCTTTTAATATCATGTTTGCCGTGTTTGAGTAAGAATAGGAATCCTAATTTATTTAGCTTCATTGTTTTGGGGTGCTCTTGACTGAGGTTTTTTGATTTTATATTTTTTAATAGAAATATAATGCTGATTATGAACTCTCGGCAAGACAAGGGGCAGATACACTGGCTTACATTGCTCTCCTCGAAGAGAAGCTTCTTCCTGCAGTGGTGAGCATTGGTGAATATTACAGTATTTTAATGACTTACTGAAAATGTACTTAATCTGTTTAGGAAAAAAATAATGAAAAAGGCTTAAGAGAGGAAATTTCATTTATGTATTAATCTTGATTCTTTCATGTTACTGTGAAACTGGATTCTGTTAGACCTTCAACTAGTGTGTACAAAAACAAAGTGAAAGATAATGTCATTTTGGAAATAAAAATTCTTATGGAAGATGGAGTTTATTACTCCATGTATAGAATTGGGTGAACTGTAATTCATTCAGTCAACAAATATTTATTGAGCACCTACTGTGTGCCAGGCCTTGTTCTGGGTGGCTGGATATAGCAATCAACAAAACTCACGTGTAAAATTTTGTTTTATCCTTGAGTCTTTCTAACTGGAAAATTTGTATGAAGTCACTTGATACAAAGATATTTATGAAAAAAAACTTTCACATCGATTGTGTGATCTTTCTTTTAGTAAAAGAATATCCTTGTAGTGTTTTCCCCCTTTTTTTGCAGCTTCACACATTCTGGGTTGAGAGTGACAATTACTTTACTGTGACAAAGCCATGGTTTGCTTCACGAATTCCTTTTCCCTTGAGTTTGATCCTGCCTGGAAGAATGTCTAAGGGGGCACTGAATAGGATTCTCCTGACTAGAGGAGAGCCTCCCCTCTACCACCTCCGAGAAGTGGAGGCACAGGTATGGTTGGGGTTATCTTCAGAGCAAGGGCCCTCTGGAGGAGGGACAAGAGAGATGGCAGAGATGAACTTACCTATAGATACCTGCCTAAAAAGGACTTCTAGAGCATCTTTCCTACCTTTGAGATGTAATTTCATCCTTATTAGATATACAGAGATGCCAAGGAGTGCCTAAATCTTCTGTCAAACAGATTGGGAACATCTCAGTTCTTCTTTGGAGATACGTGAGTGCATTCTTTTAAATATCATTTTGATGCTTTGTGTGCATATATTCAATGAGTAGTTATTTAAAGCAAGTCCCCTTCCCCCCACCATGAGTTTTTCACTTAAAGAAACAACTTTAATAGATTTTTTACCATAGGAAACTTTTTCTGTCGGTGGTAATCTAACATTGACTTAATATGCTGCATATGTGAATTTAAAACATCTAAAACTATTTCCACCCTGTCTCAAGTCTCTATGTAACACTTGAAAGTAAAGATGAATCTTTAAGTTACGACTTAATTTTCTTCTAAATAAAATAAATGGTTAGAATGTTTTTAAAAAACTAGTAATGAGTAAAACCCTAGTTGCATCATTTTTATAAGCTAAAATGGGTCGTAAACCTTTTAAAAGACTATATTATATACTTGAGAATTGACAAATATATTTGAGAAAAATTTTTTAACATAACCCCAAGTTAATATTTTCTTATGGCATGTAAAAAATCCTTAATTTATTTTTAGGCCTTCTACCCTGGATGCCTATGTATTCGGTTTTCTTGCACCTCTTTATAAAGTACGCTTTCCTAAAGTTCAGTTACAAGAACATTTGAAACAGCTCTCCAACCTGTGTCGCTTTTGTGATGACATCCTAAACAGTTATTTTAGGCATAGTCTTGGAGGTAAGCTGGCTCCTCTTCAGCTAATCTTTGTTTGCATAGAATGTTTGCATATTCTCCGAAGGATGTATAAGCAGAATTCACTACTTATTAAAGAAGTTTGTGTATTGTCTTTAAATGCTGGTTTATAGCACTTCAAAACGTTGCATTTTTCTAACTTTACTTTTATTCCCATGTGTTAGTTCTTATTTAAATAGCAAAATAGATATTTACCTTTTGTCTATTCTTCAGAATTTTATACGTTTCTTGCTTCTTGTTCTTTTAAAAACATTGCCCCTTTGAAGTGGGTCATTTTCTTCTAAAAGTTAACCAAAGGTATTTATTGAGTCTCTTGCTGAAAGATAGCATTTATCCTAACGCAAATGGGCAATTACTTTAAATGTTGCTTCTAGCATTTTCCTGCGTGAACAGAAAATCAGCAGCAGACTGATTTTGGTGAGGTACATTCCTATGATTCCACTCCTTGAGAACTGATTGCATCAGACTGGAGGTATTGTAAATAGAGGACACCTGTCACTTAGGATATGATTCTTTGGGAGCGTGGGGCCTTGTGTGTAAGTGATTGGGATGCTCAGTTTGTATTGGGAGAGTTGGCAGAAATTGTCCTTTTAAGAAACAGAAGTTATAGGGATAGCTGGCTTAGGGACAGTTTATTTTTTATGGTGGGTTGTGTGTTTTGTATGTAAGGAGGGGTTAGTAGTTTGGGAGTTACAAAATTAGGTAACTTTCAACTTTGTTACTTTGGAGCAGTAGTTAGCAAACCTGACTACAGGACAAACACAAAATCCTGGGTCCTATATCAGATTTACTGAATTAGAATCTCTTAGAGATAGATCTCAGGAATCTGTATTTTTTTAAGTCCCTCCAAATACTTTGTATGTCTGGTGGGGAGCTGTTTGGGAGTCACTGCGTTAGAAAGCTGTCCCAACAGTTGTGACTGAACATCTATTTGGGATGGCTGGGGAAGAGGTACAACTCAAAATGGAGAAGGAAATGGGGACCGCTGCTCTTGTCCTGATTACTGTGGCTAGCTGCCTAACACGTGGCCGACAGTGTCTGCTTAATGGGCACGTTTAGTCCTTTGTTTAGGGTTTGGTTTTGGAGCGTTGCTATCCCTCTTAACTTTGCTGTTGAACCCAGAATGGTTTTTCTCTTTGCCTTTTTTGTTGTTGTTGTTGGAGGATGGGGCACTGGGGAGGTGGGTAGACTCTAAATTCTTTCTATCTAAACAGCTTTAAAGGCTTTCAAAACTTCCTGTCTTTCTGATTTCTGTCCTGGCTTCTTAGGCATCTCTCCTGCTGGACAAGAAACGGTAGATGCCAATCTGCAGAAACTCACCCAGCTTGTAAATAAGGAATCCAACTTGATTGAAAAGGTCAAGTTCACTTCAATCATTATTTTATAGTAGTTTAGTATTTTCCTTTCTGCAATTAATATTGTAATTTGCGTTACGCATTAACTTTATCCTCTTAGTTTTTGTAAAAGAGTTTATTTTTTTAGAAAGCTGTTTAAATATACATTTACTAAAGTTGTATATAATAATGTTTTGAAGCCAGTAGTGGCCTCATTGCTTTGGGGAAAGATCTGATAATGGGATTGGGTTTATTTTTACCACACAATTAGTATTTTTCAAACTAGGAGACCCAAAAACCTGAGTTTTTAAAAAAAAAAGAAACAAAAATACTTCTTACTTGCTTGTCTGTCTGTCTCTGAAAGTTAGCATTTCTTGAGATTGTAAGCACCTGTGCTTATCCTTTCTGGTTAATAGCACTGTGATGTCTTTTTCTTTCTTCCACATGAGCTGTTTTATATGTTGTCTGCAATTTTTCACCAATGGATATTTGGCAGGTTTGGGAGTGTTGGTTTGGTGAGAGAGATGTTGAGGAACTGGGTAGGGGAGAGAGCCAATAATGGAAATTTCAAGGGTGATTCTGATTGGAAAATACAAGAGAGTTATGCATTTTTTTCCTGACTGTCTGATAAACTTGCATTTTTTCTTATACAAATGAATACTTCATTCTTTCACAAACTAATGGGGCAACATGGCCAGATAACACTGGCTAGCAATTTTTGAGGTCTGAGTACCAGGCACTATGTCCTGTGAACTTTATCTGAGTGATCTCATTTAATCCTCACGGCAGCTCTCTGTGTGCAGGTACTTGATCCTCCCATTTCACAGGTGAGGAGTAGCTCATGTCCCTGCCCAGGGGCATTCAGCTGGCAAGAGGTGGGGAGGGAATTGGAACCCTAGAGATTGGATTCCAGCATGGGCTTTGCAGTTAGTCAGCCATCTAACTCGTGAATGAGATTATGTATCCATTACTAGTAGTTTTAAGAGCCAGGTTTATAGCTGCCACTCTGGAATGACTGTTCTATTTCTTTTTCTAGTATTTCATATGTTGTTAGAACTTGAGAAGTGAGTAAAACTGCACAGTAAAATTGTAAGAGTCTGTTATTAGGGTTTGAGTAAGCTGAATGAAAGCCAAGTTTTGTCTTAATTCTTAGCCCAACCCAGTAAATCTCATGAGAGGAAAAATATTGAGTGTTAAGTGTGGATAATGGAAAGATTACTCAGACTGTTTTAGACACTTACCTGCTGGATGAAGGCTATCCACTATAGTTTCCATTTTCTTTATGTGGCAAATTCATGACAGACATGTAAAGGGAACCATGAAATACCTACATATGCAGCAAGTTAAACCAAGGGGCCCTGTCACCACTTCGTACACTCTCTTCTTGGGTTGTCATCAGTATGTGAAAGTTCCCTGACCCCGTATCAGGCACCCCCGCCCCCACTCCCCCCCCCACTTTGTTAGAGCAACAAATCCTGTTGGCTACCACTGTTCACCATTTGGACAGAAAATCTAGAGCTTAAAAAAAGAAAGAGTTATGTCAGAGGCACTTCGTTTTTGCAGAAAAAAAAGACAACAAATTGATTCAAATATTTCAGTGGGAATACTTTTTTCCATTGGAAAATTAAAAATTAATCTTTTGTTCTCTTTCCTTTCCTATAAATACTCTGTACCTCTGCTGAAACATTTCCTTTATGCTTTATAAGAGCATCTTGAGAACATAAGGAGAGTTTTGCACTGCACATATTCAAAACTAAAAAAGCCTGCCTATCAAGTGGGTAATAAGATGCTATATTCTGTTGGTGTTGGGTCTTTGATGGCAGCTGCTTTCAAGTCTTTTATGAAGTAAGCTGATAGTGAGCTCAACACCAGGGCCTGAATCTTGCACTCCATTTGTGGGGTGCTCTGGCTAAAGGTAGTTTTCTAAGGTCTGACTCAATTCTAAATAATCCTGCTCCTAGTGTTTCCAGGGATGCTAATGTACTCCTTAGGGTAAGTCTGAAACTCTTGGACATTTTCTCAATATGCTCCATATTAACTTGTTTCTCTAGAGCAGACTTAGAACTGATCGAATGTTTGGAATGCCTCTGGATTAGGTCTAAAGAATTGATCCTTCTTTCTGTCTCTTTTCCTAGCTTTCCTTGGTCTAAATACAGTTGTATGTCACTTAACGACGGGGATATGTTCTGAGAAACGCGTCATTAGGTGATTTCGTTGTGCAAACATCATAGTGTGTACTTACACAAACCCAGGTGGTACAGCCACCTATGCACCTACGCTCTATGGTACTAATCTTATGGAACCATTGTCATATGTGAATTCCGTTGTTGACTGAAAAGTTGTTAGGCGGCGCGTGGCTGTACTCGCAGCCTAAAAGAACTATTCTTTTTGGGTGAAGTACAGGTCATTTTCATTGAGGCAATGAGGTACAGTTGAAAGAACAATAAGAATAAGTTAGAATAAGAAGACCTGGGTTCAAATGTCAGCTCTCATACTAGCTTTGCAACCTAATGCAAGTTCCTTAACCTTTCTATGCTTCATTTTGCTAATCTGTAAAATAGGGGATGATTATGTCTGCCTTTTTTTCCTTCACAATTGTGTTAGGAAGAGCAAATGAGGTATTGTACGTGAACATATTTTGTAAACTGTGGAGCTTACTGTAACAGAAGTATTGGTTTTACACTTCCTGTTAGAAGACCTCTTAAACCAAGTCATGCTATGGTTGAGTTCATAGAATATTCATTTTGTGGAATTACTGTGATTTTGTGAAGGCATCAGGGATGAGCCATATTGCTTTTATACATATACTGAGTCAGCTGGTATTTGAGGTGTGACATTTAGAATTCTTGAGAGATTATTTGCCAGAAAAAGGTTTCTCTAGCAGTCCTGGAAACATATGGCTCTGTCCTCTTCTAGGCTATAGTTTGGATGGGGAGGCCACAGTCCACATAAGTGGTGCACAGCCCTTAGTCAGATGTACCTTTTGTGCTTTCCACAGATGGATGACAATCTTCGCCAAAGCCCTCAACTTCCTCCTCGGAAACTGCCAACACTTAAGTTGACTCCCGCAGAAGAAGAAAGTAATTCCTTACAAAGGCTGTCACCCTGACAGTCATCATGCTTTGTGTCCAAAGTCAAGACGATGGTTGCAGTAACCTTACACTAAGTGAGTGAAGGCAAAAAGAAAATGCCGTCAATAGGTATAAGGAAGACTCTAAAACAAAAGAAACTTTCTATGACATCTATTTTTTTTTAATTAGGAGGCTTGTCTTTTAGCTTGGCAGTGCACTTTAAATAACGTCAGAGTGAATGCTACATGAGCTTGGGGAAAGAAGAACACAGTGTACTGTATATAAAAAACCTGCCTCAATCTTGGCAGAGGTTTGCCTTTGGTTCACGTGTTGCTGACCAGAAGCTACAATTCTGTTCTGAATGTGCGCTCTTAATTTATTCAAGTTAATTTATTAATTTGGTTTTCTTAGACCAGTCTGAATATCTATGTGGCTCTTGGCTGAGGCTTTTTTCTTCTGTTTAGAAATCTGATGCCTATTTTAGACATTAGGAAAACTATATTATTCTAATATTCTATTTACTTCAGTAGAAAAGCCTGTATTTAACTTTAAAAACCAATGAAGAATGTGCTTTTTAATGATGTCTTTCATAAGTCTAATCTTTGGGGGGGTTAGTACCACATATATAGATATTAAAGGTGGTTACTATATATAGATAGTATTCATCTGACTATATGCATTTCCATATAACATTAGTATTTGCTGATTTGTTCAATATAAATTAGCAAAGGCTCTTTTAGTTTATTGAGTGAATGTGGCAGCTTTAGACCTATGTCTTTGTAGTACATCCTTAACTCTAGTCATCTCTTTCTTGGATTGATTTCAGGAGAACTGAATGTGTTGGTCATCGTTATTATGCCAGGCTGTAAAGTCTTACTGAAACTTGCCCAGTTGTTAGACACTACTCAGGAGGAACCCACCGCCAGAGTAATAGAAGTACCTACTATGTGTCAGGTCCAAGTTCACCAGGCTTGGCTCAGACCAGTGTTCTTTCATAAGAAGCATATCATGTAGTCAAAAGCTTTATGACAACTAATTGTTTTCCGTATAGTTTAACTACAGGTGAAGGATCCAATGGAATAATCAGAAATAGCAGTAGATTTTTAAGAATATTTTCTATTTATTGGTTGCTGAACTGTTAAAGTATTTGCTGTGCAGGTAATTTTACTAAAAATAGAATCTTGCTTATTTTAGTGGCTGAGGTGCTTCTGTTGTCCTAAAACCACTTCTGGGGTTTTTAAAATATAGGACCATGTTTTTGATTACTGTCTTAAAAGATTACTATGGTGCTCAGCAAATCTTATCTCATCCTACAAAAACCCTCATGTTAAGAAAACAGCTTTGTAGTCAGGTCTTGTCTAATTTGAGCTGAGTGGAGCTCAGCTGTGTTTGACCTGCATCCTCCCTATTTGTTCTGTGTTTAGGTAGCTATTTATACAGGAGTCTTTAAGTTATTGTAAATAGTTTTTCTTGAAAGTTTTAATTAAATGAGAAACAAGGTAGTCTTCAAAATCTTATTCATCTGTTTGGCTGGATTTAGGAAAAGTAATGAGTTTCACGTTACTTCTGCAGCAGGTGGGAGAGTGCTTGTGTGTGTGTGTGTGTGTGTGTGTGTGTGAGATGCATTACTCTTCTGTTAGATTCCAGCAATCTGAAATCTGTATGAATATTCTATATTGAAAATCATGACCACAGGACGTTATCATCCTCTAGGATTGATGTGTATTGGAGAAGGGTGGTTAAGCACATTAATCAAACATCTGTTTGTGCTTTAGTCAGAGTTAGTCGTTTTTAATTATGATTTATATTAAAACTCCCCAAAAGCATTTGAAGTGGCTTACAGTTGTCAAACTCAGGACAATTAAAATCAGTTTTTGGAAAAATAAAAAATTTGTAGGAAAAAGAGCTATACCAATCCCAACAAATTCTAAAATTGAATGGTAGATTTAACTCTGAGTTTCTCCATGGGCAAAGTCAAAAGATAATACTGGGTTGTGTAAATTTTCCTGTCAGTGAAACTACTAATGTTCATGAGTAAGAAAAATGAGTTTAAATTTTTATAAAAATGTGGGAGATTGTGTTCTTAAGGACACACAGACTTCAGCCAATAAGCATACTGTAATGTTTCATGTGTTGAAAGTTTAATCAAAAGACTTCATTTTAGAATAACAAGGATTTGTCCTTTTTTAGTAGAGAAGATGACTGTAAATATGATTTATTTACTTTGGGGTCATTCCTGCTTTGAAATGCCTTTAGCCTTACACTATATGTAGATCCTGATGCTTCCAGACTACCTTTCCTAAGGTACAACATGTGATTTAGATAAATAAGAATTTATATGTTGGGTTATTTAGTTGAGCTTTTTTGGTATAAGCCAATGAGATACTAGGAAGCTATAACTGAGCACAAACCACTCTAGGGATCAGCCACACATATGGGAAGCTCTTGAAAAAGAACAACTTTCCAGACTGGGGGTAGAGCTTGTGGTCAGCCTGTCAGGATATGCTTTGGATAAAGTTTGGGTTTGCTGAGATAAATGGTCCGCAGTCTTAAACAAAATATTATGAGCCACTTTCTTTTGGAAGTGATGGTGGAGGATAATATGATAAAAGGGACTATGTATGTGTTTATATTTGTTGGTAGTATAGGATTAAAAAACTGGTCAGATAATTCCCATAAGATAAAGATCCTCCATCAACCAACTGTGACCAGTCATCCATAAGATGGGCCATTCTCATAACACTAAAGAAACTGTAAAGAATGTTGAGGATAGTCATTCCTTCACAGTGGTCTTTTTCCCCTACAAAGGTTGGCATTGACAAACAAATCAAATTTCAACTTAGGTATGTTTGTATTATTTTTGGGGTACTAGAGGATTGGAGATTTTACATTAAATCCAAAGCATTTTGATTTATGTTTGTAATTTCTATTCATTTACTATTACTAGATATATTAACATGAACGAATGGGGAAGCTTAGTTCAGTCAGGGCTAATTACAATTTTCAGAAGTCTGCAAAACCAGAAAAAACTAGACATCAAAAGAGGCAGAAATTGGTAACAGTGATAGTATCTCGGAAAACAAATTTTTAAGGTAGCTTCCCGGGATAAAAGTGGTATTTGAAGTTGGTGGTATTCTTCCAAGAATATAATTTACCAGGCCTATTAGATTTTTTGACAGTTTTCATAAACTGTCAAAAATTTTAACCCTTTAAAACCAAAATATAAATGCTTAAATATAAAGACAGGCTGAGTGATGGATACATGGATCTATGCTGTTTCTGTAACTTCTTGTGAGTCTATAATTATTTCAAAATAAAAGGGTTTTAAAAAGTAAATTCAGTAGAGTAAATTTATCATTATCTACATAAACTGTAATTTAAAATTTAATGCTCCAAATATAGTTTCAGTATTCATTTCCAGATGAATAAATACATAATATAAATTAAATATAATTTATTTCATTCCTGAGTTTAAAGAAAAAAACAGCTCAGGTTTGTAACAAATGATTATCTAAAGGTTTATTTTACCTTACTAGAAAAGAAAAAAATAACCTAAAACCAAGAACTCCTTTTTCCTAGGATACAAAAAATTCTATGGTTTTATGTTTGTTATATCTTTTTCTTCCTATGGTACCTGGATTTACGTTTGAAGATAAAGTATTTTGAAGGCAGTCCTTCTGTGTCTCCACGTGGTCATCCTCCTTTGCTTTGTGTGTGTTCTCTCTCCAACTGCACAGTGGGCCAGGATATGTGCACCAGGACCACACCTTAGTGAAAACGGGGCGGCATTCTGCCTGCTTTTTGTTTTAAGCTCACGGGGATTTAGTAATTGACTTTGTCTGGGTTTGGTTATTTTTATAATTGAAATCCTGAGCAGAGTCACAGAGCATAATTCGGTTTGTGATGATGGTCTTCTGTATATGTTGTTGGCGTGAAGGATTATCTTTTGCCTTTTTTCTTGTTCAGCTCTGTGGAACTTACATTTGCTTTTCAATGTTTTCATATTTCTTTAACAGATTATTAAGAAATTTGTTGTTAGTTATGTGATCCAAAGGTCAGTAATCCTGTTATCCTCAAAAGTTTAATTGAAGTTTCATTAGACCTTCAAAATGCTGATTTTCACAGAAATATAAAGATGAAGTTTATTCTTTAAGAGTTTGTAAAATAATTTACCCAAAACTCTTGTTGAGATGTAGTGTTTGCTAAGAGCGTGGGTTACCTACCCTAGACTTAAAACTATTGTGATTGAGGAGGAGAGGTATTCTCGGAATCAAAAAGTATACAAAAATTATTAGTTCCAGACAAGGAGCCCAATGATTACTGATAAGAATTAACATTCCTGAACAATGATATAAGAAAGGGCAACTCTGAGTTGGATGTTTGTAAGTAAAGAGGGGAATGTTATGATAGAAGAGTATTCAGAGCAAAACAAAGTAGTTTCTTTAAAAAAAAAAAACAGGAAATTAAGTCTTTTTGTATCCTCGTTATTATTAATTTGAAATTATACTGTAAGATCTTTAAAACCCATCTTTCAGTTCTTTTGAGAAGCAGTTCCTAAGGTGCATTTTGGCAGAAAATATCATTGTTATGTGAATAGAGGGTTCTGTGGCCAAATCAATTTGGGAAATGCTGGGTTATAAGGTTAAGTTACTGTGGGCTTTTCAGAACCCTTGATGTGCTGTTGTGTGGTTTCAGTCTCCAAGAAGGGCCTACATTTTATACACCATTTCCCTAATTTGTTAATGTGGATTCTTTTTAAAAGTAGGTGTCTTGTAGGATTTGGGTTCTGAGAAACACACTTAGGGAAATACTGCCCTAGCGTGTTTTTGCTTGTTTGTGCTCATTGCCAAGGTTTCCTGTTGTTGGGTGCCCCCCTGGTGAGTGGTGATCAAATGGGAAGAGACAGGTCAGGACTCCCTTGGACCAGGATGTTGAGAGGGAGTGGCTGTGGATTAGATAGGTTGGGATTTTAGGCACATGTGAGGCCCCTGGTCAGTCTACCCCTTTCCCTGGGAGTTGGCTTGGAACAGCTGAACAGGGGTGTGAACTGGTCATTTCAGAGAACTAACTAGTTCTTACATGTCTGAGACAAAGGGAACCAACTTGAAATTCCAGAACAATTTCCAAACCGTTTTTGGCTGTGCTTTAAAAGTGCCAAAAAAGGGGCCGGCCCTGTGGCTTAGTGGTTAAGTGCGCATGCTCCGCTACTGGTGGCCCAGATTCGGATCCCGGGCACGCACCGATGCACCGCTTGTCTTGCCATGCTGAGGCGGCGTCCCACATACAGCAACTACAAGGATGTGCAACTATGACATACAGCTATCTAATGGGGCCTTGGGGAGAAAAAGGGAAAAAAAAGAGGAGGATTGACAATATATGTTAGCTCAGCGCCGGTCTTCCTCCGCAAAAAGAGGAGGATTGGTGTGGATGTTAGCTCAGGGCTGATCTTCCTCACCAAAAAAAAAAAAAAAAAAAAAGTGCCAAAAAAGCGATGGGTATTTATAGCACTGAAGTCCATACAAGCTGGTTATTTTATACATATAAACACATACAGATATATATGTATAGACACACACATACACAGTGTCGTAGAAAGTTTACAGCTGCTTCAGTGACAAAGCAAAGAAGTTGAATGTTTTCAGATTCTATTGTTACTGAAGCCATGGTCTAAACAAGGATTGTGTGTATGTGTTTGCATTTTCTAGGATGAGGGTTTACAGTTTTCATTAACTTCTCTGCGGTTTCTGTATCCTAAAAAACTTAAATCTCACTAGACCTCCAGATTTTAGAGGACTAAGTATGTTTGATTTCATTTCAAAGTACAAAACCAGATCACTGATCAGATGTAAGGATGCTTTTTGTTTGTTTTCTGCAATGTGTCCAGTTGCATAATTGAAACTCCATGCTTTGGCTGTGTATTTGACAGGCCTGCCTTTGGGTTTTGAGTTGTGGTGTAATGCTGAACGTCTAACCACAAGAAAAGCAGTTGGATCTTGGTTCTCATTCCTCAGTTTTCCTCATGCAAATTCAGAGAAATGTCTCTTTTAATCATTTAGTTTACGTATCCCAGATCCTTGGAAATCAAGCAAAATGACCTGCCAGAGTTTGCGTCAGTCCTCAGCCAGTCATGCACTGTAGAGAAGGTTGTGCTGGCCATTCGTTCTCTGGACCGTTGGCTACTTCTTTTGCAATCCTGCATCTTTCTTCTGGGAGAAGGAAGACTGTACTCAAACTTTTATGTTAATTGCATCTACATGAGCTTTATTCCTCTTCTGACTCAATGTTTTATTTGTAAAATAAGAAATAATGTCTTTCCATTTTTCTGTTCATCCTTGAAGTAGAAATTTGAGGTGTTTATAATGTAGCTTGAGCTTTCTGGAAGATTGACAGCAAAGAAGATAAATAAGAAATACATGTGTACACATAGTGGTTTTGTTCCACCAAGCCTATCTTTGAATGGTAAACATTTTAAACATCTGTTCTAGTGTACAAATACTATGGTTTTGTTATAAAGTAAACATCTTAGAATAAGCAATGTTGATCATAATTTCAATATTCTAGTCTTGCCTAGTGTGAATATGTTTTACTCAGAGACCATGTATAAATACCCAGAAGTGGTGATGATGATCAATGTTGTAAAGAATTTATTCTGATAAATGAGAAACTGGACATAATGTCAAAATAGCTATTTTCACAATAAAATCTCAAATTGCCAGAATGTTTATTAATTCCTGATTTAATGTTATTTATTCCTTGAGGTGGAAATTTTCATTGGGAAGAGTATTTGGGTGGTTGAAAATAGTTATTCAGTGCTGGGCCTGAGCTAGATAGGAGGTGGTTCCTTTTAAAATGTCCATGTTTTCTATGATAAGTGAGGTCACTTGTGCTCTTTCCACCCCATGCTAGGGGAGGCTGGAGGCCTGCTCCCTGGGCATTGGTAGGTGTGTGACCTCAGACAGCTCACACGGCTTTTCAGGGCTACAGTTATCTCGTCTACCCTTTGGCTCTGTAAGTTTATTTAAAATTTTCCCTTTTGCCTACTTAGATAGTCTGTGATGTTCCATGTAAGTGAATGGAAGACATACACTGAGAAAAATAATTATTTTAGCTAGGTGGGGGAAGATATTCCTGTTTTTTGCTGCTTTTTTTATGGGGTAGGATACATGGGTACAGAGAACCCTGTTAGAGCTGTTAGTCACGTAAGGGCAGGTTCCCTCAGAGGATGAGTGTCTTTGGGATGAGAATTTAGTTTTTTAAATTGAGGTATAATTTACATACAGTAAAATGCATTCATCTTCCAAGTAGAGCTGTTCAGGTACCTAAGTATTTCTCTCACATGAGAAGCCAACTACATCTTTGTTGATACTTCTGTCCCCAGAAAACACAAATCCTAATTGCATATGAACTTTGGGTTCCAAATGAAAGGTTCTCGAGTGGAATGATGTGGTTAGTAATGATGCAAGAGCAGGAAAGAAGAGTTGATATTGTGGTATGGTGGAATAATGGAATTCTTTTGAGGAAAGATAACAATTTGGAGTCACAAAGCTAAGAACTGTACAACAAAGAACTTAAGAAATTTTGGTTACTGGTTGCTCAACTCAGAGGCTTGACTTTGGTCTGGGACTGTTTGGGGTGCTCAGAAACTGCTGGATGACTCTTTGGTCCAGTGTCCTTCAGTGGATGGTCGGCTATGACAGAAACAGTGCTCTCTTTTTCCTTTGCCACTAATAACAGCTATTGGCAGGAAAACTTGTACATTTTGCCATATTGGGATCTTGTCCTCGATGAGTCTCCGTAGGAGAAAGATTGAGATAAGGGGGAAGCAGTAAGATCCCTGAGTGCTGCCCATATATATGAGACTAGTGCCTACGAGAACAAGAAGGAAATGGTGGTAGAGAAATGTAAGGATTTGTCTTAGTCAAGATCGTCTTATAAGTTCATAGTTGCAGAGCAATGGAGAAACCAGTCCCTTCTTGATCTAACTGACAAGAGCTTCAGGGGAAAGAATGAGAAAACGTGGTCCATTTCTCCAGGTACATTAAGTCAGCTTCCTGGAATGCTTTAGACATCTGTGATGAAGAAATGAAGACAGCTGTGCATCATCAAAGACATTTCTAATTTTTAACACAGCCAACTCGAGGTTCCAAAAGTTGTACTTTTCCAAGTGGGAGAGAGGCTATTGTATTCAATTTTTTGAGTAAGCAAATGAAAAGAATAGAGAAATTGTAACATTTATAAGTACAATTAAGGATTGGTTTCTCAGATCCTAGTTTGGGGAAGGTGGTCCTTTTAAGAATTCACATTATGAAGTTAAGAAATCTTTTGGTGTAGAAGAAAGCATGACACTTTTCAAATATCACAGTTAAGACCAAACAGATTTCAGTTTTATTTTAAATGCAAGAAGCAAACTGACTTATTTGAAGACTGTCAGATTGTGCCTATTCTGATATGCGTTGTCCCAGTTTTCTCCGTGAGGGGGGAAATTGCCTTTTTTATCTAATGAACATGATTTACATTTTGTATTACATATAACATCCAATTCATAGTGACTACTGCTAAAACGATTAGACAACAGTGGGAAGGGATATAGATGTAGAAATTGAGGGGAGAAAGAACCAAAGAGAGAGGAACTGTAGAGATGATGTGATTGGGGCTCTGGGGATAAAGATTAATGAGATGTAGAAAGACAGTGGATTTTAGAGTTAGTAAGCCAGGCTTAACACAATATACCAATCTGGTGATTTTGAGCAAGTTACTTGATTCTTAGTCTGCAGTACTGTTTATTGCAATGCAGTAGAATAACTGGATCTGAATGCATGAAGATTTTTATGTGTTTTTTTAAATCATTAAAAGTTAGAAGAGGGCCGGCCTGGTGGCTTAGCGGTTAAGTGCGCGCGCTCCACTACTGGCGGCCCTGGTTCGGATCCCGGGCGTGCACCGATGCACCGCTTCTCTGGCCATGCTGAGGCCATGTCCCACATACAGCAACTAGAAGGATGTGCAACTATGACATACAACTATCTACTGGGGCTTTGGGGAAAAAAAGGGAGGAGGATTGGCAATAGATGTTAGCTCAGAGCCCGTCTTCCTCAGCAAAAAAAAAAAAAAAAAACTTAGAAGATACTAATAGAGCTCCATCCCACCTCTTATGAATAACCTCTGTTACCATATTGGTATCTTGTTTTCTAGTCTTTTATTTTCTACACAAACACACAATCCTGTATATATTGTAATCTCATATACTATTCCATAATATGCTTTTCACTTAAAAAATCAGAAAATCATGTAGTTTCATTGTATGGAGGTAGCATTGTTTATTTCATTCTCTTGTGATGGACACTAAGGTAAGTCCCTCTTGTAATGGTCCTTGTTACATATTAAGTTGTTTCTCAGGAAGATTGCTTCCCGAGCACTTTATGTATTATACCACTTTATATTCTCTGAAGCCCTATGTAGGAGAGCCTGAATTACTGCAACCCCACCAGCTTTGCATATCCTTTCTCTCTTTACCAGCTTGATGGGTAAAAATTGGTATTTTTTATCTAATATGTATTTCTTTGATAACTAGTAAGGTTGAATATTTTCCCCATATGTCTATTGTCCATTTGTATTTCTTCTGTAAATTTTCTATTCATATTTGCATGAAAGGCAAGTTATTTAACTTCTCTGAAACCTTGATTTATCAGCTGTAAGATGGGGTTTCCCTGTGGTCTAAATGGGATAACATATTGCAGATCCAGAATATGGCAGGTGCTCAACAGTGTCATTTCCCTTCATGCTCTTTCCTGGATTAAGAGCTCCTAGAGGACGGAGACTCTTTTCTTTATTGTACCCCAGCACCTAGCACAGTGCTTGGAACACAGAAGGGGCTCACAAAGTTTTGAGGAAGGAGTGGGATTTGAAAACATTTTGTGTATATCAGGAAAAGGAGTGAGAAAAGTTGAAGCCAAGATCCAGTGAATCAGCAGTGAGAAAACTGGTGGGTTCCTCAGAAGCTTACTATTAAAATGGAAGAATTTAAGTTTTAGTCTCAAAACTCTACTAAGAAACAATTTCTTTTTTTTTTTTGTGAGGAAGATCGGCCCTGAGCTAACATCCATGCCAATTCTCCTCTTTTTGCTGAGGAAGATTGGCCCTGGGCTGACATCCGTGCCCATCTTCCTCCACTTTATATAGGACACCGCCACAGCGTGGCTTGACAAGCGGTGTGTCGGTGCGCGCCCGGGATCCGAACCCGGACCACCAGCAGCGGAGTGCACGCACTTAACTGCTACGCCACGGGGCCGGCCCCCAAGAAACAGTTTCATATAGACTGGAGCGAAGTGACTAAAAGACATTAAAAATCTATATTCAAGGCTGGAAGTAGCTTTGAAAAGTTGAGTGTTTTTTTTTTTTTTTTGTAAGCTAAAGAGTATTTTAAGTATACTAGGAAAGATGACTAGTTAAAGGAATTAATAATAAGTTTTTTGTAAAGTGAATAATAACTTAAAAAATGACTAATCCTAATTTTCATGTATTAGATTTACCTTGACTAGGAGTTAACGTGTACTAATAATATAGTCATATTAAAAAACGGTAATAAGCTAAAGTAACCAAGAGCTGTGGCGCCTCAAATGGAAGCAAGAGAATTGGTGTCATATCTTGTTTTATTCAACATGTCCTGTGATTGTGGGGGCGCAGGATTCAGTGGTTTGTTAATGAGATTTGCAGATGGCTTTAAATTGAGAGGTGTTGTAAACAGCAGGAATGACTGAGAAATGATACAAGAGGAGCTGGAAAGATTAGGAACATGGACAGGAAATCAAATGATTCAGCCTGGAGTAATGCAAGCCCATCTGACATCTGGGCCAAATAAGAAGAAATACAGATATGCCCTGAAAGAGACAAACATAGGAAATATTCATCTCAAGGGAAGTTGGGGGCTGGAGGAGGACTAGAGGAGAACAAGAGAGGTAGGAAGCAGGAACTAATGGTTGTTGAATGCCCACTATGTGCCCAATACTACTATTTGGTACTTTCCATATTGATTTCTTTTTGATCAAGGTTAAGCAATTGAGTGCCGTGTAAGAAATAGAAGTTTTGAGTGTTAGTTATGCACAAGAGCTCAGTACTTAATGAAACAAGCTCATCCCCCCTCTGGTTGATCTTAATGGTGGTTAGAGTGCTGTCAGTATAGAGAGCTTGGTGGAAGTGGCCTGGAATCTCCAGAAAAGCTCTCGTGGGAAAGATCAGTCGCCACATTCCTACCTGGCCATTTCTCATTCAGTACGTGTTTCCAAGAATTAGCACAGGAGTCTAGCTTAAAAAAAATAAGACGTGTCTCATAATGGCTGCTCTGTGAGGTGGTCTATTCCTTCCAGCCATGCCCCTCCCCCTCTCTTCCAGTGTCCTCATGTGAACCTCTGGTGACATAGAGCTCCCATCCCAGACCTTTGCATGATTCCTGCTATCCCTTATCCTTCTCTCTTGCTATAAAGATCTAATGATCATTTGTATTTCCTCTAGATGTCAATAAACTAAATCAGATTTATTGGCAATATTGGCCTAATTTAGGAATTTTCAACATTTTTTTTAATGGAGCCCCTACTTCCCCTTTTTTTCAGTCACAAGGGCTTGAGGAATTGGGTCACAGTGAGGACCCCATAGAGTTGAGGAGGAAGAGGACCAAATTATTCTAGGGTAGACAAACCCTAAGCAGGCGATGTTGACTGTATCCATTCCATGTCCT